ATTATACATCCATTTCCGTTACCAAATTCTTTCCAGGCATTCAAGTTGATCTCTGGCAGTGAGTGACAAGGAACTCTTGGGTTAAGGAAATTCGAGGGGAGGTCGAAAGCTGCTCGCTGCATTTCCCCTTCTATGTCCATGTTCTCGCAAAGAATTTTGGCGAGGGTGGTTTTGCGAATTTCGCTCAACTGTGCTTCCGTGAATCGCACTACAGGATCTTCATTTTCGTACCTACAAAATATCGGAAATCTCATATGTTTTGAAAGTACTTGTAGTTATGACCCAAGTGAGGAAAATGTTCAAAATAGATCATATAGATCTGCTGCATATAGAACTGCTTCCACATCTTTTGATCATAAGGTAATTCAGATCTTAGTTAAATAACAATCTACTGAAAGGAATGAAGAGACATAATTACAAAGCATTTGCTGCCTGAACGTTCGTGGCAAATCTATCAGATAATATGGATCACAAAAGAACTCAAAAATCCCAGTTGACGTTAATGCAAACAGGAAAAATTTATTTTCTTTGAACAATCATTTGTTTGGCAAGTGAAATTATTCAATTAAAATTGTTGCACTATAAGCAATTAAAATGTTGCAGTAACCAAGTGTCAATGTTAACAGAAATATTACCACTTCGAAAATATATAACTCGATACAAAATCTGATGAACATATACATACAAGTGAGGATCATAAAGTTTATATCCATCATAAGCACTTCAGTATATCAGTTCAATTGTAGTGGTAAAACTATTTCATGAAGTTCAGCAACTCTCCCACACAGTGTGATTCGAAAGACAGTATCCAAGATATCATCCAGAGTTCATCAGTTCAAGAGAAATAGTAGCAACAATATGATTTCGAATTTGGTACCAGAAAATCAATGAACTTTTCAAAACCCTATATTTATGTACTAATAATGTTACTGGAGAATGCCATGGTATAACCATATATTGAAGATGAGCTATGTTTTGATTGAGATATAGTAGAAAACCAACGTCTGACTACTGATGAATGAAACTTTTGAAATAACGTAATTTGTATAGTTCAGCTTGTACTGACTATTCCTAATGCAAGTACTTATGAAATTGTGAAACAGAAAAATAAATAATTTGATTCGATTTGACATATTTTAACCGACTTCAATAGAATTGACTTGATTCTAAAACATCTTTCACTACTGAAAGGAATCGGATATAACATTTTAGATTCAGGTGTTGGATTATTAAAATTGATACCACAAAAAAAATACGATTGGAATATTGTAAACTCACCAGAATCTATCGCATTTCCTCAATTGTCTGAACTGGATAGCAATGATACATCCAAAAGTGGGCCCAATCAGTCCTCCTTGTAGAGGCCGCTCAGACATGGCTCCAGGGAACAGATCAATGTCGTCTACGGTGGCGTAAAGCCTCTTCAACCTCGTTATGACTTCTGGAGGAATTTCTCTTGCAAGATCTTCGAAACTGGTAGCTCTCTTCAGATTACACAAGGCCCTGTAATTATTGTAGGACGGTATACCGTGATCTCTCGCTCTCTGAATATTGAGAGCAATCAGATCGATACCTGAAAATGGTATCTTTCTGTCTTCGAAGAGATGGTTCGTGACTTCGCCTGTTATGAATTGGTCGAGAGTTTCCATAGGAGTGGATACCAGACCTCTGGCGATTTCGTCTACCATGTTTTCCCTCATCATGATGTCGGTCTTGAAAAATCCGTCACGAAGCAGAATTGGGGGGTCGATGATTTGGTATGTTGCACTCAACCTACAAATAATAATAAGTATTTATTACCTATAGATGACTATATCTGGTTGTACTGACAGATAGTAGTTTGAGAAATATAAAAATACATGCATGGTTAGTAGATGAGCAAGCTTGGTCCTGGCTCTGCTTCGATTACGTCACACGTTTCTTTCCCCCACCCTCATTTATCATGAAAATTGCAAAAAGTATCGCTCCATAAGAAAATACATGGGATTTTGAGCCAGGACCAAGCTTACTCATCTACTATGGTTTTATTAGAAGACAGGGACTACTCCAGTTTTGGCTCATTTTTGTTCTTTATTCTAATCTACATCGATAACGAAACTCAACAACTAAAGCTACAGCCAAAACTACGAAGGAAAACAATGATATCTTCTAGATGATTTTCAGGTTACCTAACACTTGTTGTAGTGTACTAGCAGTTTTATAGACCACTTTCATATTGAATTTTCTAAAGATTCCAACCAATCTGTTAGTGTATTTTGGTTCGAATGAAACAAAGTCGAGGATTTACAACGGTACTCTCTGAATTTTTCCTTCCTTATCCACCATGTTTGAAGACCATTTATCGCTTTCAACAATTTTCTTCTATTTAAAAATATGTTTGTGCGAGCTAAGGACTAACGAGGTCTTACCTTTTAACGTGTGATTCCTAACACGGAATCCCTTCCTTCTCGATATCATATCTTGCTTTACTTGAAGGAAACGCGACCATGTGAAGAAAATGTAGACAAGCATTTTTTTGCTATGGGCAATTGTGGAAGCCATCAGGGATATATCTGAATGTATTCAATATAAAGTTCACGTATAAAAATGAGGAAGAATTGCCATTTTCGGGTGTTCTAGTTATAAAAAACACCTTAAAGGCTTCAGAATCTGATGCGTGGAGGAAGAATACTAGCACTAAGTATTCATCCTACAGTAATCCAGGATGAGGATCTGAAGACCCTGGTGGAGACTGATCTATCACAAATGTGACAGAAATTGTCACGTTTCAGTATCCGTTTTCCTTTGCATCTGTACAACCTGAATGATCCCTTTTTAGGATCGGATCCTTTAGGACACCAAGAGACGTTCCGGACACAGGTTGGATACCACTGAGCCATCCAGGCTCTTTCCAAAAGTGAAAACTCGCCAAAAATGACCACTGATTGGAATACACTAAATTCGATTGAATTGAATAAAAATTCACCGAGATCTTACAGTCTTACAGTAGTATATTGAATGTTCACATTCAGTACACAATACACATTCCTAGAAACAGTAGACCTGAAGAACATCCAACACAAACGATATTACTTGCTGTAACACAAATGTAGGCAAATTCAACTGCAGTACCTGCACTGAGACGTTCTAACCGCATAAGAAACAAACAAGAAATTTGAGTAGAGCCAAGAAGATGCACATCCAGCTTTCGAAAGCGCTCGCGTATAATAAATAGACGTTATAAAGCTACAAATCCCTTTGGTGACATACATATGTTATTATTGAAATAAATATATATGAAATGTCAAGGTATTCAATCAAATATGTATCATTTTGAAAAAATAAAAATGTGTATGCGTATGAATTGTCAATTTGTGATTCATAGCACTTCACGCCAGTACAAATGTGAGTTCTACTAACCTAGGAATGTGAGGTCTCAACAGAGAATGCCCAATTCTGAATGCAGCAGCACCAAACTCCGTAACAATCGATGGGTTGCAAGTGGGGTTATATTCCTTGTAATATCCCTGAGGTAAAAGTTTCAAACCATAAAGATTCATCGCATTCCATCCCAAAATCCTCGGTAAGAACTCGTTGTAGGTTATATGCTGGTTCTCAGCTATCAGTATTTTCCTGGCATGTTCAAAAAGTTTGTCTTCGTCCCAGTGAGGGTTTATGTGCCGCAATGCGTCTGTTAATCTGTTGTGTTCGCGGAGAAAGATGGTGTGAATGGCTGTAAGAGCAGGTTGTTCAGAGGCTCTACCATCACCTGTAATAGAAACATTCATAAACAAGTTGAAAGTACTGCGTTTTTCTACATCAGGAAAGGATGTTTCTCAATGAAACATAATGTAATTTACTATTGTCAAAATTGATTTTGCCCCGATAGATCGACGGAAAGTGCAACTAAATCAATTGGCGCGGGTAGATTTTGGCGCCCCGTGGCGGCCATTTTGTTTTGGTGACATCTGTCAAATCTTTTGTTTATTATTCAGTTGTTTATGCCAAATCATCATGGCAAGTTACACGATTGAACAGCAGGTTCAAATGATAAAACTTTATCATCAAAGTGAGTGTTCGTTAACACAAACGTTGCGCGCATTGCGCCCATTTTACGGTAGACGTGGTGGCCCTTCACAGTCGACTCTTCAACGTTTGGTGGCCAAATTTGAGACGACCTGTTCAGTAAACAATCAGCCAAAACCCGTACGTTCAAGGAACGCAAGATCGGCCAAGAACATCGCCGCAGTGCGTGAAAGTGTACAGCAGAACCTGAGGCAGATAATCCTCGCCGTGCACAAGAACTCGGCCTTTCGCAGACTTCAACTTGGCGAATTTTGCGTCGAGACTTGGGCCTACACCCGTACAAGATCCAACTGACCCAGGAGCTCAAAGTTCATGACCATAGACAACGCCGTTTGTTCGCTGACTGGGATTCGAATCGTTTGGAAGAGGACCCCAATTTCGACCAAAAAATCATCTTGGTGACGAGGCGCAGTTTTGGATGAATGGCGGTGTTAACAAGCAAAATTGCCTTATATGGGCCGACACCAACCCACGCGAGGTTCACCAGGTGATAATGCATCCTCAAAAAGTTTGGTGTGGATTTTGGGCCGGCGGCGTAATTGGTCCGTACTTTTTTGAAAACGACGTTAGTGAGGCGGTCACCGTCAACAGCGAGCGCTACAGAACGATGATAACTAATTTATTATGGCCCAAATTGAACCATATGGACCTAGATGACATGTGGTATCAACAGGATGGCGCTACGTGCCACACAGCAAACGCCATGATTGACATTTGAACGATTTGAGGGTGGGGTTATCTCTCGCAGGGGTGATGTGAATTGGCAACCAAGGTCATGCGATTTGACCCCGGTAGACTTTTTCCTGTGGAGTTTCTTGAAGTCGCAGGTCTATGCAAATAAACCACAATCGACCGATGCCTTAAAGGTGAACATAACACAGGCCATCGCTCAAAGTCAGCCAGATCTATGCGGACCACTCGGATCCGTGCCACCGTAAGAAGCCGAGGCGGGCATTTGAATGATGTCATATTGTCATGGCATACATGCACCTTAAAAATAATTATGTTAATACCTCACACACAGCTTGTTTCATTCCATTTCAACATCTACCAGCCCTTATTAAAAAATCCTTCACAACTTCCTTGAAAAATATTTATGAAGGTTTTAACAAGGAAAAGTTTATGGCCGATTTATTAAAGGCTTTCGATTTCATTGACCTCAACATACTGGCCAATAAACTAAGGTAATTGGAATTCGGCCAATAATCTAACGCAATTGAAATTTGGCCAATAAACTAAGACAATTGGAATTGAAGGCAAATTTCTATTCTTGATTATGTCTTAGATGAAATTTAGAAAGATGTATGTAAATTGAGATGATGTGAACTCGAATATTTATGACTTGAAAGTTGGGGTTCCACAAGGCTCAGTCCTAAGACCATTACTATTTTTACTATACATAAATGATTTGTTACAATATATCGGCACTACAGCGATAGCTCTCTTTGCAGATGATACTTCTTTTTCTGAAGAAACCAACAGTCCTTTCGAACTACAGAACAAACTGAATGTCATAAGTCAAAGTTTCTCAAAGTAGTGTAAAAGAAATATATTTATGGTCGAAGCAGAAAAAACAGAATACTGTTTTTTCTGTACCAATAGGTACAGTTTTTTTTTAAGAAAATCTGTTCAACATCCTACAAACGTTCTTATAAATAACATGAAGATACACACTTCAGAATCTACAAAGTTTCTAGGCAAGGATCACTCATTGAATTGGCAATTTCAACTACGTGACTACGACTACGTGAGTGAAAGACTCAATAGCATTTTCTATGCCTCAATGGAAAAAATACTGGGCGAAGAACATATGTTAGATGTTTACTATGCTCTTGTTAATTCTGTTCTACCTTATAATGCGGGCATATGGGGAGATGCAACAAATATTAATAGGGTCTTCCTTGCTCAGAAAAGAATAACTCATATGCTTCACAATCTACGTCATACTGATTCATATAGACAAAGTTTTCAAGCGAAAGAAGACATCAATAATACCTTCTCTCTATATTTATGTCTGTTTTCTCTTTGTAAAAAATGCGAACTAGAATCATAAACTCCCAATATCATAATTACGTAACATTGAACGGGAATTCAATCAAACAACATCGTGCAAAAGTATTGAAAAAGACGCCATCTCTAGCAGGCTCAGAGTTTTTCAATTGTCTACTTTCCAACATAGAAAGGCTAGCATCAATTTTGGTATTCGAATGTTCAATGTTCCTGAACCCTACAAATGAAGAAGAAATTGAAGATATTATTTCAAAACTTGATATAAATAAATCATCTGGATATGATAATGTCTCAGTATACGTCATTAAATATGTAAGATCAGAATTGACCCCAATTATGAAGGAAATAATCAACGAATCCTTTGAATCTGGTATCTTCCCTGCTAACTGTAAAATTGCATGTGTCTCTCCTATATTCAAATCCGGTAGCAAAATTGATATGAATAATTATAGGCCCATTTCGGTTCTCCCTTTATTTTTAAAAATTATCGAAAAGGTTATGAATACTAGGTTGATAGAGTGATACTGACTCTGCAGTAATGGATGTCATTTCTAATATTCAACAACAATTAGATAGAGATATGAAATGTGATCTTTTATCTCTCGATTTACGAAAGGCATTTGACACAGTTAATCATGATATTTTATCAAAAAAATTGAATAGTATTGGTATTCGAGGAATTATCCATAGATGGTTTGAAAATTATTTATCTAACAGAAAACACTTTATGTGTCTAAGGAAAAATGCCAGTTCATTGAAAACTATCACCTGTGGTGTTCCACAAGGGTCTATTTCGGGTCTAGTTTTATTTTTGATTTACATAAATTCTGTTTCAAAATATTTCGCTTAATTCGATTAAAATATCTTAAATGTATATATTTCTGTTTGGTTTATTCAAATCTACAAAATTTCATGTCAAGCATTGCCTATCGCGACTATTATGTGTATATGTACAAACACTTAAGATTGTTTGTTTTCTATACGAGCACTGTCGTATGTTAAATACATATATTTTGTAATACTTTCTTCATTTTCATATCATGTTTTACCATTGACGACTCCCACATCATTCTGAAATGATCATTTCAAGGAGTAAATATATTGTATTGTATTGTATTGTTATGAAAAATATCAACATCTTTTATCCGAATCTCACCTGCAATGAAACATTGTCCAGAAGCTGACTTGCATTCAGGATGTTTGTCACTGGTTGGCAACAAATCTTTACCCCTAACAGGATGCGAAGTGAAATTCATTTTCCCAAGAGGTCCTTTCAGGTCTTTCAAAACACAATGATTCTCTCCGTATACTTGAGAAGCGTCCAAGAAAGCGGTGTTCTGATTGACCTGTTCTCTAGGTCCCAACTTCTGCTGGCCAGGCAGAGATCTCATGAAGGGGAAGCACATTCTTTCCCCAGATGTAATATTTATTTCTGGATAGTAGTGATCTCCTGCCGGTACCGGGAAAGGATGACACTCTGGATGAACCGTTCTGGGACTGTCGCAAGATCTGCAGTTGGGAATTGATTCGTGAAAACCCTTGTGGATGGGAGTCATGGTGAGGTCGTGGTCCAAAAATTGGGCAAACTGCATGGTCATGAGAGTGTACCTATTGTGGAGGTTACTTATGTCTGGGTGGATGACTCTTGATACAACCCTGGGGTTTGGAAGTGGAGTTCCAGTTACACCGATTGATCGGGGCTTGGAGATACCTGAAATAATTATAGTGTCTTTGTTATATGAGAAGAGAGATAACTTTTGAACATTATTGGTACATTATAATTACACTCTGATACTTTCAAACTGACAAATCGCTTCTCCTGAAGATGCTAGCCTTGTTAGCGAAACGCGCGTCAAGTGCAAAAATATCAGTTTGGTGTTAGAGTAATTGATCTCTAGATGAAATTTTCAAAAATCGGTTTGCCAAACCACTCACTACCTCACCTAACCCCACGAACACACGGCACTGATGAAGAAATATTGTGAAACGGACAAAATAATAATATTCAGCAAGTCCAGCTAGCCGAGCCTTTATTCCTCAACTACATTTGATAGCACGTTTACTAATTATCTGGGCGACTAGGGGCCGCAGGCAGGAAATGTTTATGACTGTACTCTTATTTTTATTGCCATTCCAGTTGAGAATGGATAGATTATATACTAATATGAAACTATTCATGTACCTTTTCATATAAATAGAACAGACAAACTCATCAAAAACACTGGAAAAACGAGTCATAAACAATTTTGACGTAAATTATGCATGATACTAATTGAACATTTTTCAATAAATAAAGATAAATTCGTAGAACCCTGGCATATCTTATAAGAGGATGAGGTCATCCAGTGTCTCATACTTACCATCATCGTAAACACTTGGCAAAAGCCTGCTGAAAGTTGTCAAGCTTTTTCCGTAGCTGGGATACCTCAGATTGTTACAGTGTCCAGTCATAGTCCTGAAAGGATAACTGGGGTCACATGGAGATGTATCATCACAGTGAAGATCAACATCGAAAGTATCGGTCGGGATCAAAGCTCCAAGATCTATTTGTTGGAGAGTATCTGTCAATTCGTCTCTGAAAATGGAAGGTATGATATTGTCGTCAAAGAGTTGCCGTTTTCTACGACGATGGAGGAGAGAGTTGACGATTTCATTAGAGGCAAATTCGAATAGAAGAGATGTGTTGGCTAGTTTCAGAGCATTCTTATTGGCTTTGCTGAAAGATGCTGCCGTTCCAAGTGCAGATTTCGGGTTTACACCGCCAACTGAAAAAAAAATCATTTGATAATTGGAAAATTGAATCTTTTTACCGTTAGAGAAGTAGTGAAAACAAAATTCAAATCATCATAATGAGGGGCAAAAACATTTCTAACGTTAATTTGGAGTTGAAGCTGAAGTAATATTGAGCATTGTTCAGAACTCATTACCCAAAATAGATGCTTTGAAGCAGAATATTCACACCTTCATAGAAAACACTTTGACGTTTCAAAAGAATTCTATTGAAAGTATAGGATAATGACTCGGTCAATTGTTGAAGCTTCTTGTAGCCTCAAGTGCTCATTCTTATATCAATCAATCAAGAAGCTAATCCCACCCGGCATCGCCCGGTGAGATACCGTTGCACCGGCTTAGGTAGCGTGGAATTGCTTTCGGGCTGACGTTTCATTGCTATTTCCGGTTTCAAGGGTGGAATATAGAAAAATATTGCATGATGGTGATCCTAGGGTCAACATACTCCGGAGGGGAAACAGCTCCCCAATCGGATCTCCGGGTGGGACTGATTATAGGACATCATCCTGCAGAAATTATTCGAAAACCACTATTTCTGACAGTCAGCAGGGTTCACAGGGGAATAGCATGGTAACACTGCAGTTGCTAAGAGGCCCCCTAGCAACTTCAAAATCGATTTCTGCAACATCAGAGGATTCAACTCAAATATAAACTCAGTGGACCAATATCTGCAAACAAATAGTCCTCACATTTTTGCACTCACAGAAACAAAAGTCAATACTTCAACAAACCCCGTCAATTTCGTTATTCTTGAAAACTATGGAGAGGCTATATGAACAGTACATAAGAGATGAAGTACTGGCACACAACCCATTTCATCCAAATCAGCATGCATATACTCCGGGCAGGTCTACCAATTCGGCCCTTTACCATGAGGTTGACAGAATTGCGAGATCATTGGACAACAAAGAATCCACCTTAGGTATATTCATAGCTACCGAAGGAGCGTTTGATGAAAAACCTTTCCAACAATTACCCAGCAACTACACTCCAGGAATGTACCCCTGGTAGTAGGAGAATGGATACTCCAGATGCTCTCTAGCAGAGCAATAAGTATTAATGTAGAAGACATCACAGTGAAAGGACTGGTCATGAGGAGATGTTCCCAGAGACGGGTCTTATCACCCCTTCTCTGGAACATAGTTCTGGATATCCTGATTAATCACCTCAACAATAATGGATTCTACACAATTGTATATGCCGATGACATAGTTATCTTGCAGACCGGCAAATTTGTGAACACACTGTGCGAGGGGAATGAGGATGAGGATTAAGTGGGGAATGGGAAATATACCAGGGTGGTCCAAACAGAACTGGCTGGTATCTCAATCTCCACAGAAGAAATAACCAGGAAAGGAATTTCATACACAAAAACATAAAAATCTGCACTGACAGCAGACAAGCTCTATTAGCCTTGAACAGACAACGTGTGACCTCACCAAGATTCAGCCAGAGCCTTGATAGATAATAACATTATCCTGAGGTGGGTTAAAAGAGACAATATGATTAAAAGTAATCGCATTGTCAACTCTTTAGCCAAGAAAGCGGCTGGTCTAAGAATTTTAGGATGTGTGAACAGAAAGATGAGACTGTCAGGCATGTCTTATGCAAGTATCTGGAGTTTTTGTCAATAAGAGGTTGTATGTTCGGCGAGTCTTGGCTTGCACCTGCCGATATAAAGGAAACTGTCTCTCAGTGACCTATCCACCTTCCTGGAAAGGACAGGATAGACGATGACCTAGGAGGACAACTCCTCAAGAGGATGTACAATGGGTCACATGTGGCCTGAGTGCTGTGGGCTTACACTCACCCTTCCTACTCTACAGATACAGAAACCCCGTCAATTTTCTATATCCCGGCTATGATTTCCACTTCTGATTCAGCCCTAACTTTGGAATATATCATTTTATCCGAAGCGATCATTTCTGCCAACGAAAAAAAAAAACGCTGGAACCCCGAAACTTCGATGTTATGTGGTTTAAAATAATACCACAGAGAATCACTGAATTCGTATGCTGCGTTTATCGAACTCCAAGCGATACACAATATAGAGCACTGTTCTTTTTAATTGCAAACACCATTTACTTTCTGCAAATCAATCATCCCAGTGCCAAATTTTTCTAATTTGATGACTTCAATGTCCATAACATCGAATGGCTCAATCAAGGTCGCAAAGCTAAGGCTATTGCAAAAAGCAGCAGATCATAAATGAACCAACCAGGATTCCTGACCGTGATTGAGAATATGTCTTCTGGATCTATACCTAATAACCAATCTTGAACTTCACACAGTCACAAACTCATTTCAGTTGTATATATGAAACGCAGAAAAATGTAAATTCATATTTCAAATATAACTTTGAGAGCAACAAATTCTTCAAAAGTAGCTCATGTGAAACCTTTGATCTTATTATGAAAAGCTTTCTCATACCTGTACTCCACACTGAATACTCCATCTTCCGTCGTTGTAGAACATCCTGCTCGGCTTTGGCAAGTGCGTCCATCAGTAAGTCTTCCGATAAATCCGCCATATGGTCCATCTCCACCCATTCTGAAAGCTGAGGTAGCGGATGTTGGTTGCAAGATATCCTAGAATTCAAATAGGTATCTTCCTGGACGAAAGCTTTTGGCTGTATCTTCTCCAGGTCATCCGTGTTAGCGCAGAGTAGTCCAGCCAGCGTGATTTTCTTTATTTCTTTCAACTGATTCGTTGTCAGAGAGCTAGGTGGCAGATCGTTCTCGTACCAGAATCTGTCCGTTTCCTTCAGAATCTGGAACTGTTCTTTCAAGAGGCAGTTCAAGGTTGGCCCTACCATGGTACCAGGAATGGGTTTCTCCAATAATATACCAACCAAGAGATCGATATCTTCAGGACTCGTGTACATATATTTGAGAGCTTTGATGTATTCGTCTTTTATGCCAAATATCTTCAAGTTTTCGAAGGACAGTACTTTTTTACTGGTCGAGTTTGAACAGTACTGCAAAAAGCTTGGGTAGGAAGGTATACCGTGGTCCCGTCCCATATGAATGAACAAGGAGGCAGTATCCCATTCTGGTCGGACTGGTACCATAATGTGCATACTAGGATTGTGCGATGGAGTGGTTATCAGAAGGTCTACCATTTCGGCAAAAGACTCTACACTCTCGTTCATCTGAAAATTATTTTTTGCAATTATAATAATCGATGACATGAATTTCCAAAACTATGAATGTTTTTATAAGTACAATCACGAACCAACGTATCTGTATTGATCCGTCAAACTGTTCCACTGGGAGAAAGTTATCTATCCATGATGATGAAATTGCAATCTAGAAGTGAGCTTTCAATTCTGGTCAAGTGTTAGTTGATATCCCAAGAAAATTCGTAGATTTTGATACAAACCCAGTAAAGAATGGAAATTCCCACTAAACCTTGAAATATGTAATGAAATATCAATTTTCAAAATCATTTCCATTCATATCTTGTCCAAGGATGTAGGTTAGGTCAAAAGTAAGTGGGACTATTCAACCCTCCATCGCAACCCGCAAGGGTTTATTGTAACTCACACCTATTCACACTCCACACACTCACACACCAGCTTCTCAACGAAGCCGATTAATTTGTATGGTGAGTGTTCTTTCAGGTCAGATAGTAAAAGTATAGCTCTGACAATCTATTAAAACCTAATCAACCATTCTCAACCAGCAACTGTACAAATAATATATGATACTCACCACATTAACGGGTAGCGTCGATAATAAAACAGGCAAAGCGGTCATTGCGACTTCGTTGAATATTCCTGTTCTTCTAGCACTGGAGTATTTCGAAAATCTGCCATGAGACTTCAACTCGAGTTCTGAGTGTACTATGGCTTCCTGAAAACAGAAAAAATCCAATGTTTACCACTATTGTATTTCCTCTCCTTCAAATTAGATTGAAGTCACAGGGGACCGAATCTGGTGAATACGGTGGTTGAAGCATGGTTACGGTATTATTTCTGGCTGAAAAATTAGGAACAGGCAATGAGTAAGCAGGTACATTATTGTGATGCAAATGTCATTAAATTGATTTTCCACAATACCAGAAGTTTTCTTCGTGAAAATTCAGCAATTTTGGAACGAACCATTGAAAATAAAGTTAAGGTATCTACATACGTATATAATTTAATTGTTTTTTTTTTCTCCTGTAGCTACTACAGTTGATTAATATTGTCAAAACCGCAGATAAAAATAACGAATGGAGTAGCACAAATTTCAAAGTTGTGGCTTCCATTTCTGACTATTTTGTATAATAGCTCGCATAACCTCAATTTTTTTTGTCTATATACTGTTCACGGATTCATGTGATATATAAAAAATCCCGCCCAACTTATACATGTGATAGGTGAAAGCAATAAATTGATAATTACTCAAATATTGTACTTAGACAAGCTATTTTTGTCAAAGATAAATGATAAAATATAATTATTTCTGAACGTAACGAAACAAGGCATAGGCGTGTCAAGAAAAATAATCACAACATTATCACAAAATTTCGCATAGATTTCAGGAAAAAAATTACAGAGAATTCATTAATATCGAACAACTTAATATTACGCTTTTTGAAGAATATACACAGTGATATCATCAATCTGGTGTCTACTACAGGAGGTGTGTTTATTAATTAGACGTATCAGAAACAATTCTTTCACTCAAAACAAAAATTACTTATTTGAGTTTTTCAGTTGATGAATATTTGGAAAATACACTTCGATGTGAGATTTCCTATTGTGAGTTTACAAAACCTCGACATATGCTTCGCTTTATAATATCATCTTCGGCCTCCACAATACTGTTTGTGCAAATTCTGTGTTGTGCCTTCACAGTAAATTGAATCATTATGACTTTTATTACCTGACAAATTTCTACATTAATAATTTATCATCTGAACTATTTACCTATCTAGAAACAACTCACAAGGATCTGTGCTCATCACTAATTTTCTCGTTGCAAACTGAATTCAGTACAGAAAATAATTCAAATCCACTTGAAAATTGATCATCCACTGATTTCTAAACATTCCGAAAGTTTTGAACCTTCCTCTTTTGAATGCAATAAATGCAAAACGTTATAATCATGATTGAACTTGTTTCCCTCTGTCAAAAGATGATTCGTAAATGTCGACTTGGCCGTTCCACCCAAAAAATCACTTTCATGATCTTTCATTCTTTAGGAAAAAATGCTTTCGGTCTGTCTGATATAAGATTATGGACAAGAACCACAGGTCCTCTTGTATATTTTCGACACTGGAGTGTCTTCTTCATTATTTTCAATGAATCTACTCAAATTATTATTCATTCTATACGCTACGTTCAATTCTTCGCTTTTTGAAAGACAAAGTCTAACATATATAGAAGGGAAAAGAATCCTCAAATCAAACCTACCTCTCCAAGAACAATTGGAAGATACTCGTTGAAGGTGATGTGTTGAATTTCGGCAATAACAATTCTGCGACTTTCCAAAAACAGTTTTTCATCGGACCAATGTCTGTTCAATTGTGCAAGATTGACGGCAACCCTGTTGTGTTCCTTCAATATGGCGGAGTATAGTGCGTTTGACTGACAGGAAGCGCAGGCAGATACGTTGACCAGACCTGCGTCATAAGTTCGAAGTTTTTCCATTTGTCTATCAGTGTTACCATAAATAGCGGAGGCATCTAAGTAGGAAGTGGCGAGATTCATTTGTTCACGATTTTCTGAAATAGATACAAATATATCAATGTGGATAACCGTGATAACAGCAATAATTTATGTGAACAAAAACATGAGAAACGAATTAATTTCATTAGTTCGGACTTCCATTGTCTAATATTACATAAAATAATTTGAAATCTCTGAAATAACCAATAAAAAAAGAAAAATTAAAAAAGAATAGCTGAAAATAACAATTATATCAATCAAAAAAAACCTGAAATGAAATAACAGTAAAATAAGATACTAGTAAAAATAGAAAAATTAAACGAAAAATAAAAAAATAAATAAATGAAAATTAAGAGAATCCAAGTTAGTATCCCCAATCGAAATGACGTGAAGTAACTTGGCTTAGAATCTCTTAATTTTCAATTTTTTATTTTTTGTTCAATTCTTCTATTTTTACTTGTATTTTGTTTCACTGCTATTCCATTTCATAGTTTTTTTTCCTAATATAATTGTTATTTTCAGCTATTCATTTTTAATTCTTCCTTTGTAGTTCTTTCAGGGATTTCAAATCATTTTATATAATATCAGACAATGGAAGTCCGAACTAATGTAATTCATCATGAAAAATTGTCAATCACCTTCAAAGAAATGAAATACAACAATGTCCTCTCTCTCATAAAACAAAATGTAGGGTGTCTCCAGAGGCTCCAATAATATATTAAATGAATCAAGATGAACATTTTTTCGATAATAGATGCTAAGTTTAATTCAAAAGAGGTGTATGTTGAGGGGAGATACATTTTTCGTAGAAAGGCTATTTGGCTCTTAGTTCTTTCCATAAAAACGTATCTCTCATAGAAATATACTCCTTTCAATTCAGTCAAGATTCCTATGGCTGGGATTGAATCAAATAAGTGCATATTATCAAGATAAGTTCTTGTGGGGTAATAGGACAAATGACTCATTCCGAAACATCGAAGTTCGCCATTGAAAATGATAATGTATTATATTATGTAGTGTTTCTATGAAGAATATCTCATTCAGTTACATCACGAATGTTCGGAGTATAAACTGAATAGGGGTATACATGACCACATTTGTCGATGAGGTCATGTATACGAGGGTGATTTGAAAAGTTTCCGACCTAACGAAGATCCAAACCGTAATTGCAGTCCACTGTCTGGACTGTATTTTTGTTTCCGGCATATAACGGTGTATCCAAGTTTCAATTACAGTTATTAGTCAGTGCCAAAACTCGAATTTATGGCGCCTGAACTGGGCCTTCATAGCGTTGGAAATGTTCACTCTAACACGTTTTCGGTCCAACGTTAGCAAACGCGGCACCAACCCGCGGACAGCTTTCTCATGCCTCAATGTCCACTGTCTGGACTGTATTTTTGTTTCAGGCGTATAATGCTGTATCCAAACTTCAATTACAGTTATTAGTCAGTACCAAAACTCGAATTTATTGCGCCTCAACTGGGCCATCATAGCGTTGGAAATGTCCAGTCGAACACGTTCTTGGTCTTACGTGAGCAAACGCGGCACCCAACCCGCGGACAGCTTTTGTATGCCTTAATTTTGTTTTAATATGTAACAAACCCGCACTTCCGGTCTATTCGTAACCTCTACTATCACTCTCACTTTAATTCGACGATCGTCTAGCACCATTTGGTGAACTTTGGCGATGTTTTCCTCGATAGTTACAGTTTTTGAATGTCCAAAACGTTCATCGTCTTCCAAGCTCTTATGGCCACGTTCAAATTCAGCTGCCCAAAATTTCACCGTGCTAAATGATGATGCAGAGTCTCCATACACAGAATTCAACTCATCTGTGATTTGCGTAGGCGTATTGCCACTTAAAACAAATATTCAATGACAGCTCGATACTCTTTTCTTTCCATTTTCATAAAAAAACCAACATCAACTCAATCAAACAACTAATACATATCAACTGCGCGTCCAAAATGGCTGAAACTTTGATGAGTAACTGTCAGAAGATGAACAACGAAATTCACTAGCTTTCATTTATGGGTGCTGTGTTCTTCATGTTGAGGTCGAAAACTTTTCATACTGCCCTCGTTTATCTGTATTACAGGCTACATCATCACGATAATGAGTAGAGTACAGAGTATGAAATCTCAGAATAAGAGAGTAACCTACTTTTTATTACTATATAGCATGTTTTATGGAATTTTAACTCACCAAATTTGCAACTATCCATGTCGACTGCTGGCAATGTTCTCATGTATTCTCGGCATTGCCCGTGTCCCAATTTCCCGTAACACTCCCCATGTTTCTTAGCGTTCTCACTGCAGCAATCTTGGCTCTTCAGATTTCCTGTATTGGCAAGGTCGTGCAGCAGAAGCTCGCTCCAAGCCCCCAGTAAAGCGGTAACAGACTCATGTTTGGTGGCAGGATTATTCTGAAGGGTCGAAGCAATGTCAATAGGACTAGGAAGAGAATGAGAACTGACTGACTGCTTGGGTTGGGATTTTCCTGGAAAAAACAGTGATATAAGCAAAACCATCGTGTTGATGAAACATGGAAAGGTACAGAAGTAAAGTAAGTAAAGCAAGGTTTCATATAACCACCACGACCAATATGGATTAAGATCACTAAGATCAACGTTGCAAGTTGTTACAGAAATAATTCACTCGATAGCGAAACACTTGGATTGAAGAAAATACATATGCCATTATACATGTGACGTCTGGAAAGCCTTCGGTAGTGGCTCACAGAACATTCTGTTGGAAAACATGGCTCAAATAGTAGGCTACATGATTTGGAGACTTGCCATCTTTCCTATACAGGGTGTTTCAAATTCGATCCTCACCATTGGGATCCCGGAAACTATGAGAGATACGAAGATGGTTGAGATGAGGCAAAGTTGCGCATTTACCTGACTAAGAATATGTCGTTGGGAAAGTTCTGAAATTCCGAGTATATCCGGAGATATCCGGAAAAAACAGAAGTAACTGAAAATGGTTTTTATTTTTTCTGTCTTTATTTTTCAAAGGATTCGAAAATAAATTCCACATTGCCACTTTCTCTCTGGTAATGTCGATTCTCAAAGACTATTTGGAGGATCTAGCTTTGGCTAACTATAACAACATCTGGTTTCAACATGATGGTGCTCCACCGCACACTACAAGACGATAATCTAATTATCTGGCTGAAATGTTTAGTGATAAATGGATAGGAAATAATGGGCCGGTGAGGTGGCCAGCAAGGTATCCAGACTTAAGTGTTATGGATACATTCTTATGGGGTACACCGAAAAATAGAGTTTATGATTAGAGGGAATATCAAAATATTGTTAGAGAGTTCGGAAGATTGAGGAGGGGGGAAATTAATCGTGCGTTGAATCATATTCGAAGGAGGGCACAGCTGTGTTATCATGATCAAGGCCAGCATTTTGAGCATTTGCGGTGATTTATTTCTGTCTTTACATTTCAGTTAATTATTGTTATTCGTTCAAAGTAATCTTTTCATTGAGAAGGACACAATGTCTAATTTACCTCATACACACCTCATTAATCAAATTTTGAATGTTGATCCTGTCTCCGTATTTTTTCATTGGCTTTTCAAACGAACCAAACTCGGTGAGATTTTGAACCAATAACTTGAATATAGTTCGATGTGATTGTCGTCTTTCGGGATACAAGTTTAAATACATTTCCGATGTCCTAGCACTGTTTCTATCGTATTTGTAATGATTTGTTGTAATTTGTATCATATCTCTTTTTTCTTCATTCGTGAAAGCCATTTTTCACCAAAAATTCAATGACTCGTACAAAAACAAAATGTCATTGAGTGTAACAAAGTCAAATTTAGAAACATCAAAGTCAAAGCCTATTATGATAAGAATTTTTTTCAATATCTCCAATTTTTCGAGAAAGAATGATAACTTATGATACATCATTCAAAAGGTCCAATCTGGTTCTATTCAAAACAGTAAGAATCCAACGTAGCGCTCATGAGAAAAAATAAAGTTCTGAATCTGAAAACACCATTATGTAGTAGAGAAAAAGGGGTAATGTGAAAGTGCAATTTATTTTCGAACCCTTCAATAAATAAAGCTAGAAAAAAATATAAACCATTTTTCGAAATTGCTGTTTTTTCCGGATATACTCGGAATTTCAGAACTTTGTCAGCGGTATATTGTTGGTCGAATAAATGCGCAACTTTGCCCCGATTTAACCATCTTCGTATCTCTCATAGTTTCCGAGATCCCAGTGGTGAGGATCGAATTTGAAACACCCTGTATACAGATATATTTATATTCACCTGTAGTATTATTATTATCATCACATTTTGAACATTCTCGTCCATTCAAAAATGATCGTATCCAACGTATAATTGGTATTCTTTATTTTCTCCCAAATTTCTAATTCAATTCATTCAATTTACCGATACTTATGATGCACTGTTTGGAACCTTTGGTGTAGTAATGAATATTACTAGAGTTTTTTCCCAACACCAAGTGATCATCTTCAAAGAGGAAGATTAAAACTAAGAACTAGTGCGAACTAATCCTATTTATGCTATAAAGGTAACCCATACAGGCGTACCAACCATACAGGCATACCAACCTAAATTAATTTTACAATTTTGCCTTATCTATTGTTTTACAATATATGTTTATATAAAATAATTTTCAGCTGTATAAAAATTAATTTCACAATTGTGAAATTGATTTTTATAATTCACATTTGTGATTATTCATTGATTTTTATAATTCACTTTTGTGATTATTTATAATTCACAATTGTGAATTATGTTAACAGCCAATTTTACTATCTCTTTTTTGTTTTGTTTCAGTTCATTTATACATTTTCAGAGAATATAACATTTTTACATTTGAAAATCGCAACTTTCACCAAAAGTTTAATTTTTTCCCAAAGAGATATTACGGAGTATTCTTTAAATTTCAAAAAATTCACAAATTCCATGAGACGATATTCAGCAGTTCCAAAGTTGAAATTATTTTGATGCATATTCAACGGATTAACTAGCTGTCGTCCCTCTACCAACTCGAAAATCTCCAGGAGACTCATGACAGCAAAGAATCAACGAGGTCTAACCTTTCTATGTGCGATTACCAATCATCGCGACATTTTGTGCTTCTAAAATACATGTTTAAAGAAATCAATGATTTCCTGAAAGAAATCACTTCTAAATTCACAATTTGGCTAATGATATTTCCAAAGTGTATTTCTTTTCTTCATCATTCAATGTCTGCAATACCTCAGTTTGATCTTTCCCTTGAAGATGATCACTTGGTGATCGAAACACGTGTTGAGGTGCTAAAATAACAGTTCGGTGTTGGGAAAAAACTCCAGTAATATTCTTTACCTTCGAAAGAGTCAACTTCGGACTTGAGAATCGTCTTGTATAATCGAAGGTGAAACGAATCGCTGATGAGATGTCTGTAACGGCGGTGACGTCATATTTGGGAATGCTGCTCATGTGAGGTTCACTTTCTCCTGCTCGGATGCCCGCGAGCCGCGAGGAGAAATTACGATAATATTCCTCCGTTCGCATTTTAAGAGTCACTTCATTTATTTCCTCAGTTGTTTGTCATGAAAGTAAATGGTACCAGGATTGGAGTGAGCCCTAATTCAGTGGTTAACTACCTGGGGCTCAACTCTTGAATCACAGGATTCTTTTTCCAATAGGACTTGACTTCAGAACGATATAATTTGACATTTGAAGGCATATGTTGTACATAGGAATCACACGTTGAAAGGTGAGACCTCGTTAATCCTTAGCTCGCACAAGTTTCCACTTCTGAGGGTTGTCGTTCGTAGGTGTGCGACAGCTGATTAACGGAAAAATTGATTTTTTTTCAACAAATTGCGGATGATTGAAAATGACGTCTGTTCCTATGAAAAACAGACCCCCATAACTCGAGGAATGGCCCCTGGTGGTTCATTGATTCAAAAATATTTGATTTACGGGGGTGGTTCCAGAAGTACACGGCCTGACTCAGAGATGGCGGTAGTTTTTTCTAAAAAATCACTCTATTAGAAAATATACACAGAGCAGGGACACGATCAACGAATGCAAAGGATGGAGAATAGTGAAAGAATACTTAGAGAAAGTCTCTGAAGAAATTGGACGGTCACTTCCTACGAAAGGGAATGGGATCGACGTGGCACTACTAACAAAAATTGTAAAAGCTGCATGTAACAAAATTTTCCCAAAAAAAGAGTGAAAGATAATAGAAATCCGGTATATTGGTGGACTGAAGAGGTTGCAGGAAAACGTAACGCATGTGCTCAGGCTAGAGGAAAAGTGGTAAGATCGAACAGAGATGAACCTCAAAAAAGACTGAGGCAAGATGAATACAAACAAAGCAGAAATTATCTGAAGAAAACAATAGTAGAAGCCAAACAGAAAGCGTGGAGAACACTGATAGAAGAAGTAGATGCGGATATATGGGGAACGTAGCTAACAAGTTAGAGTAGCTAACAAGGTTAAAGTCAGACAGCCGATTGGTCGAATGAATTGGGTATTGTAATTGCAAAAATTGTGTATTACGCTGTGGTTGAATCCCATCCAAGATATGGCATATCATTCTAGGGCACCTGCAACCAACAACACTTCAATACAGTCTTCATTCTCCAAAAGCGTGTCATCCGATATCTGTGAAAAGTTGGGCCTAGAGAGTCTTGTAAACCCTTTTTCAAGGAGCAAAAATTACTAACACTTTCTTCTTTGTTCATACTCGAAACTGTGTGCCTAGTACATAAGAACAAATCATCTTACGATGTTGTTATTGGTTTCACTCGCCAAAGCGACAAATTAATGCTGCCTATTCCATCATCAAATTTGATTAAAAACTCATTGATTTATAATGCAGCTAAAATATATAACCATCTACCGACCAGTCTTAAAGATATCCGATCACCTTATCAGTTCAGGAATTCTGTAAAGCAAGTTCTCATTGACCAGGTATTTTATGGTGTTCAAGAGTAGTTTGATAAAGATATGGATGGAATTCTGAAATGAAATTATTCCCTGTTCAGGCACTGCTTTTGTTGATTTTGATAGCTCCTGCAATTTTGAAAACAGTGTCTGTTTATCTTATTTATTTATATATTTTATCTATTGACTTCCTTATTTACCTGTTGATGTCTGACTATTCGTTCATTTAGGATGTATATAAATATGTATGTGTGTGGTATTTACGTGCGTTTATATATGCATATTCATTTATTCATCTATAATTGTTTCATCTGTGCACTAAAAATCGTAACCATATTTCAGTATGACACATACATTAAACCAATGTATATGTATAATGAATAGTTATTATAGTGAAACTCATTTATACATGATTAGGTTTGTCAACGAGTTTATACTTTGGACAATAAAGCATATTTGATTTGATTTCATTTCATTTGACTTACTGAAGAAGAACAAATAAAATTTGCTAACACGTTGTTTCCACCTCACCAGATTGAAAAATGGAACAGACTACCAACATCACCAGAGGAGATACCAACGTTCACAATGGATGAACTCAAGGAAGCCAACAAAAGACTTGAA